GGATCTCTGGTGCACTCTCTGCCTGCTGCTCGAGTGAGCAGAGTCAGCATGGGGGATAAGCCAGGTACGCTAGGCACTATCCCTACGAGTTCTAAGGTATCTATGAGTGCCAGACATAAGAAAGCGGCAATCCCGGCACCGACAGCTAAGGCACTGCCAGCACCGAGTTCAGCGTCGGCACCAGATATCCCTGCAGACCAAGCGTCCATTCTATCAACGGCACCACCGGCACCACTACCATTGCGGGCGCCCTTAGCACCGGCTTCACTGGCACCACCAGTGGAACCACTCCTAAACCGCCAGCACCAACACCTCCAGCAGGAGATGGTACTGTGTTGGCACCAAAGAAAGCCATCGCAAAGACTTGCGTGTGTCAGAATCCTATTTCTCCTTCTCCCCGTCCCATCTCCCTCTCCTCCAGCACGTGAATCTCCCATACCAAGTGCCCGTTAATACCATCACAAGGACTATCCATATTCTCCTCAATATAGTCCCCGGTCCCCATATTGGGAACCACAGTGGAAGGATGCAAGGCACTATGGGAGACACTATTCCTTTTTTCCATCACCTTCCTCCAGGACCTCGCTGCATTTCCTCTGCTCGCCTACACATTCTCTCCGCTCCCTATACTATAAGTGGCATACCAGTGTAATCTCGTCAAGATGATCATCGCCAGCACGTTCTGACAGTTATTATGGATATCATCATAGACCGTATTATTCCTCACATCCACGTTCACCTAGTTGTCAGCTGGTTACCGCTGAGTCACAGCAACAGCAACCACGTACTCCTCCATTGCAAAGCCCTACCACCCAGGCTCAACAATCCGACCTGGAAGAGGGTCAATTATCTGAAGTGGAGGACCACCTTCACCTACAGACCAGTCCTCATCCTCCCCCGACAAGGCAGTCTTTTCGGGGGCTATGTCCCCACCCAACGACCTGAAACAATTTCATGAATTGTTTAAGTGGGTGGTGGAAAGCCAGTAGGTTCAGTTGGGGGAAGTGCTGCAAAATAAGCAGTATCGCCTGTTGAAAAATCTGCAGCCTCAACATCGGTTTAAGATCGCACTTCCTATCGATGAGGCAGTCATGGAGGCAGTAGAGGACGTTTGGCAGACCCTAGCCTCAGCACGGCCAATGAGCAAAGCAGGCTGACAAAAAGTACTTAGTGCCTTCAAAGGGGCTAGAGTTTTTGTTTAATCATCCGCAGCTGAATTCCCTTGTGGCAGATGCAGCTCAACACAGGTCAAAAGCTCCGCAATACAAGAATATCCCCACTGAGAAGGACAATAAAAAATTAGATATTTTTGGTAGGAAGGTTTAGTGACTCTTACTTCGCATCGCGAACTATGCCATCCTGCTCTCAAATCACAATTTTGATAATTATACCAAACTGACAGAGCTTATTCAATACCTTCCGGACTCCAAGAGACCACTCTTAAAAGCTGTGGTACAAGAGGGCTATACATTAGCAAGGGCTGGGCTGCGGATCACTCTAGACGATGCGGACACAGACACATGTTCCACGGCTACAGTGATTGAGATGAGGAGATTGCCCTGGTTCGCATCGGCTGGCAACCCAAAATACCTTCAAACCAAGGTGGAGGATCTCCCATTCGAGAAACAAAAGCTCTTTGCTGACAAAACGGACAAGGTCCTCCACTCTGGGAAAGATTTGTGCACCACTCTCCAGATGCTTGGAATGTACACGCTTCCATATTGACATCAGAGATACATCACATACCAGAAGCAATACGATTACCTGTACCATAGGCAACAGCACCACACATATGACCAGTCTTGTCCGGGCAACCCCAACCGCCTCGCGCCTCCAATCAGCTGGCTGTGAAACAGCAAATTTGACTTCTCGGTTGAGGGCGTGCAGACTTCTCACGTTGTCAGTCCACAACATCAGCTCCTTTTTCACCATCTTCTAAGGCCATTTTACCAACAGTGGGCCAACATTACATCTGACCGTTGGGTCTTGGAAATAGTGGCATCTGGCTTCATGATCCCATTCTTATCCATACTGCCCACTACCCCCACCCTTCCCGTCCCTCTTCAGGGACCCTTCTCATGAGGATCTGCTAAAGCAAGAGGTCCATCATCTCCTTTCCATTGGAGCCATAGCGAGGGTTCCTGGAGAATTCCAGGGAAAAGGATTTTACTCCCATTATTTCTTCATTCAGAAGAAAACGGGAGGTTGGAGACCATTCCCGGCCTTCGGCAGCTGAATCGGCACCTCTGGAAACAACAGTTCAGAATGGTGACACTCACCACCATTATACCATCACTAGACAATGGAGATTGGTTTGCGGTCCTCGACATTCAGGACGCTTATTTCCATAGCACCATTCACCCAGCACACAGGCGATCCTTTGATTTGTTGTCGGCAATAAGCATTTCCAATATTGAGTTCTACCATTTGGCCTTGCATTCGCTCCCAGGGACCAAGCGTCCATTCTATCAACGGCACCACCGGCACCACTACCATTGCGGGCGCCCTTAGCACCGGCTTCACTGGCACCACCAGTGGAACCACTCCTAAACCGCCAGCACCAACACCTCCAGCAGGAGATGGTACTGTGTTGGCACCAAAGAAAGCCATCGCAAAGACTTGCGTGTGTCAGAATCCTATTTCTCCTTCTCCCCGTCCCATCTCCCTCTCCTCCAGCACGTGAATCTCCCATACCAAGTGCCCGTTAATACCATCACAAGGACTATCCATATTCTCCTCAATATAGTCCCCGGTCCCCATATTGGGAACCACAGTGGAAGGATGCAAGGCACTATGGGAGACACTATTCCTTTTTTCCATCACCTTCCTCCAGGACCTCGCTGCATTTCCTCTGCTCGCCTACACATTCTCTCCGCTCCCTATACTATAAGTGGCATACCAGTGTAATCTCGTCAAGATGATCATCGCCAGCACGTTCTGACAGTTATTATGGATATCATCATAGACCGTATTATTCCTCACATCCACGTTCACCTAGTTGTCAGCTGGTTACCGCTGAGTCACAGCAACAGCAACCACGTACTCCTCCATTGCAAAGCCCTACCACCCAGGCTCAACAATCCGACCTGGAAGAGGGTCAATTATCTGAAGTGGAGGACCACCTTCACCTACAGACCAGTCCTCATCCTCCCCCGACAAGGCAGTCTTTTCGGGGGCTATGTCCCCACCCAACGACCTGAAACAATTTCATGAATTGTTTAAGTGGGTGGTGGAAAGCCAGTAGGTTCAGTTGGGGGAAGTGCTGCAAAATAAGCAGTATCGCCTGTTGAAAAATCTGCAGCCTCAACATCGGTTTAAGATCGCACTTCCTATCGATGAGGCAGTCATGGAGGCAGTAGAGGACGTTTGGCAGACCCTAGCCTCAGCACGGCCAATGAGCAAAGCAGGCTGACAAAAAGTACTTAGTGCCTTCAAAGGGGCTAGAGTTTTTGTTTAATCATCCGCAGCTGAATTCCCTTGTGGCAGATGCAGCTCAACACAGGTCAAAAGCTCCGCAATACAAGAATATCCCCACTGAGAAGGACAATAAAAAATTAGATATTTTTGGTAGGAAGGTTTAGTGACTCTTACTTCGCATCGCGAACTATGCCATCCTGCTCTCAAATCACAATTTTGATAATTATACCAAACTGACAGAGCTTATTCAATACCTTCCGGACTCCAAGAGACCACTCTTAAAAGCTGTGGTACAAGAGGGCTATACATTAGCAAGGGCTGGGCTGCGGATCACTCTAGACGATGCGGACACAGACACATGTTCCACGGCTACAGTGATTGAGATGAGGAGATTGCCCTGGTTCGCATCGGCTGGCAACCCAAAATACCTTCAAACCAAGGTGGAGGATCTCCCATTCGAGAAACAAAAGCTCTTTGCTGACAAAACGGACAAGGTCCTCCACTCTGGGAAAGATTTGTGCACCACTCTCCAGATGCTTGGAATGTACACGCTTCCATATTGACATCAGAGATACATCACATACCAGAAGCAATACGATTACCTGTACCATAGGCAACAGCACCACACATATGACCAGTCTTGTCCGGGCAACCCCAACCGCCTCGCGCCTCCAATCAGCTGGCTGTGAAACAGCAAATTTGACTTCTCGGTTGAGGGCGTGCAGACTTCTCACGTTGTCAGTCCACAACATCAGCTCCTTTTTCACCATCTTCTAAGGCCATTTTACCAACAGTGGGCCAACATTACATCTGACCGTTGGGTCTTGGAAATAGTGGCATCTGGCTTCATGATCCCATTCTTATCCATACTGCCCACTACCCCCACCCTTCCCGTCCCTCTTCAGGGACCCTTCTCATGAGGATCTGCTAAAGCAAGAGGTCCATCATCTCCTTTCCATTGGAGCCATAGCGAGGGTTCCTGGAGAATTCCAGGGAAAAGGATTTTACTCCCATTATTTCTTCATTCAGAAGAAAACGGGAGGTTGGAGACCATTCCCGGCCTTCGGCAGCTGAATCGGCACCTCTGGAAACAACAGTTCAGAATGGTGACACTCACCACCATTATACCATCACTAGACAATGGAGATTGGTTTGCGGTCCTCGACATTCAGGACGCTTATTTCCATAGCACCATTCACCCAGCACACAGGCGATCCTTTGATTTGTTGTCGGCAATAAGCATTTCCAATATTGAGTTCTACCATTTGGCCTTGCATTCGCTCCCAGGGTTTTCTCAAAGACTCTCGCAGTAGTGGCAGCACATTTGTGCCACAGAGGCGTCATGATATTTCCTTACCTCGACGACTGCCTCATAAAAGGCCGGTCGCACGAGGACACATGCCATATGATCGCATTAACCAAACAGACCTTTCACTCCCTTGGTCTCTTCATTAATGACCAAAAATCCATGGTAGAACTGACTCAATCTCTAATCTTCATAGGGGCTTGGCTCGACTCCGTTGCGGCATGAGTGTACTTACTGTTGAGCGTTTCCAGGCAATTCAAGACCTAATAAACATTCTGGCACATGCCCCTACTGTCTCAGTACTAACTTGTCTGCAACTGATGGGCCTCATGGCTGCCACCACATTTGTGGTTCAGCACACAAGGTTACGTTTCCATTGCCTTCATCATTGGCTGGCTGTTTACATCCCAACAAGACACAGTATCCACAAGATAGTAACTCCCCCACTCCAAATTCACACATCCCTATGCTGGTGGATCAAACTGAGCAACCTCACGGCAGGTCTGTCATTCCATCAACCCCAACCACTGAATCCGATAACTACGGATCTTCCCTTACCAGTTGGAGTGCCCATATATTTGGCATGATGGTGCAAGGCAAATGGTCAGCAATAGAGACAACTTTTCAGATAAATCTTCTCAAGCTCAGAGCAGTCTTTTACGCGTGCAGGCACTTCCAAGTACACACATCTGGTACGACCATCAGAATGCTTACCTTCCAGTCGAAGATGCATGTTAGCATCAGGTGACCAGTCATCTGACTCCATCAGCAATGAGTCAGTAACATTATGGAATATCCATAGGAAGGCCATACCTATTGACAGCCCATTAGCTAGAACAATGGACTATCAGCCTTCAGCCCTGTCTGTCTTTTCTGCTGTAGTCCCTGAAGTGACAAAAGTGGGAGTGACCCAGAGTAACAAATATCAACCATAAATACACAAGCCAGTATTCCTAACTTCAAATGCAAAAATGATACATGCATACAATGAGATAATCATAGTCAATAAATCATAACCTTTCCAGTGTTACCTTACGTGAATTATCATGCATAAAGCATATCTCAGTTATGGCATATTCTTATAAGCATATTTTCATAAAGATATGAAATATTATGTCAGACTACTATCATCACATATGTATTCCATCCATCTGGATGCACATAAACTAGATCATCAGACAGATGGTTAAAGTTAAACCAGATACCACAAATTTTCAATCAAAAGCTTCAATTAAGTCTCTTATTGCATGGGCTGATGGTTGCTTTCAGTCTGATTTCCAGCACAGTTAACTTTCCATGTTGTGACATGAGTAAACGAAAGCTAAGAAAAAAGAAGATACACATCTGCCCTTTCACATTTTTTCTTCAATAAAAAGTTGAGTTAATCTACAGCAGTGTTTCTCAACCTTTTTTTTTATAAAGTACCCCTTTAAAAAAATTATAAGTACCCCCAGTACCTACAGTTTTCAGACACACACTTTTTTTTTCTACCATTGCAACACATTTGTTTAAACAACTTTATCGTAGCCAGGCGGGCAATGACATTTTTGAGTGTAAAAAGTGCAAAAATAATAAAGCACTGTAAAACTTAAAACAAAAATTCAGTTTTTTCCAAATTTCAGTTGTGTTGTCGTATCCTCTAGACTTCTCTCGAATACCCCAAGGGTACTCATACCACTGGTTGAAAAACAATGATCTAAAGATTCATTTGCTGTCTTTTGTTGATTAATTTCACAATGTTAGCCTCACAAAAATGTAGTGTCTGTATCAGTGTCATCTTGTTCTGCACTTTGTGTCCCAACCATAAAAGACACTTAACTGGCAAAATTACGCTGGTTCTCCCCCCTCTCTACTAGCCGGCATTTGCAACAACTTCAGTTATATTATAAACGGTTCTAAGTGATTGAGCAACAAAACGGCAAATGAAATTTAATGTTGATAAATGTAAAGTAATGCACATTAGAAAAAATAATCCTAACTATACATACAATACGATGGGGACTAATTTAGCTACAACTATTCAAGAGAGTCATTCTGGATAGTTCTCTGAAAACATGCACTCTGTGCAGCAGCAGTCAAAAAAGCAAATAGAATGTTGGGAATAATTAAAAAAAGGATAGCGAATAAGATAGAAAATATCTTATAGCCTCTATATAAAACCATATTAAGTCCACATTTTGAATATTGTGTACAGATGTGGTCACATCATCTCAAAAAAGATATATTGGCATTGGAAAAGGTTCAGGAAAGGGCAACAAAAATTATTAGGGTTTTGGAATGGGTCCCATATGAAGAGACATTAAAAAGACTTGGACTTTTCAGCTTAAAAAGGGGGAGGATATGATAGTGCTCTATAAAATCATGACTGGTGTGGAAAAAGTGAATAAGGAAAAGTTATTAACTTGTTCCCGCAATATAAAAACTAGGGGTCACCAAATGAAATTAATAGGCAGCAGGTTTAAAACAAACAAAAAGGAAGTTTTTCTTCACTCAGTGCACAGTCCGTGGAACTCATTGCCGGAGGATGTGGTGAAGACTAGGGCTTTAACAGGGTTCAAAAAAGAGCTAGATAGATTCATGGTGGTTAGGTCCATCAATGTCTATTAGCCAGGATGGGTAGGTAGGAATGGTGTCTCTCTCCTCTGTTCTGTTTCTCTGGAGATGGGTGATGGGAGGGATCACGTAAAGATTACCTGTCCTGTTCCCTGCCTCTGGGGCATCTGGTGCTGGCCACTGTTGGCAGACAGGATACTGGGCTAGATTAACTTTTGGTCTGACCCACTATGGCCTTCTTATGTTCTTTTTTATGGGAATTTTATATCTGAACATTTCACAACGATATGTATTTAAAAACCAGCTGCTCTGCTTGCTTTCTATGAATGATCAATAGTCACATTATTTTACTTTTTCACACTTGGCTCAGGGAATCCTGGTCCCTACTGTGTTAAATGCCGATTAACATTTCTGCATTTTTTCTTTCTCTCCTCTTCTAGATTGCACAGCCAGGAACACCTTATTTTTATGTTGAACTGGACACTGGAGAGAAGCTTTTTCACCGTATTAAGAAAAATTTTCCCTTGCAGTTTGGAAGGTTTGTTTTTCCATCTATTTAACTTCACGTGTTTAGTATAATAAAATATGCCCTTGATATGCTCTGCTGAAGATGGTGTCCTACAGCAGTTGAATGGGGACCTGGGGCTATTTAAGACTAATGGCTTAGAGAGTTGAAGAATTACTAATATCTTAAAATGAGTTTATTTATGTATGGAATAACACACAGTTCTTTAAGAACTGACTTCCTTTGTAGATCTCATTCACTTACAAAAGAGGAATTATATAGATAGTTGCCCAGTGTCTGTGCGTCTGTAACGCTGACGTACATGGCCACGCCTCCTGGCTGTGTACGTCAGCACCCCGCCTCCCTTCCCCTCGCTCCCTGGCAGTTCCGGCCCCCCGGACACTCCCCGGAATAACACACAGTTCTTTAAGAACTGACTTCCTTTGTAGATCTCATTCACTTACAAAAGAGGAATTATATAGATAGTTGCCCAGTGTCTGTGCGTCTGTAACGCTGACGTACATGGCCACGCCTCCTGGCTGTGTACGTCAGCACCCCGCCTCCCTTCCCCTCGCTCCCTGGCAGTTCCGGCCCCCCGGACACTCCCCACCCGCCAGCGCTGCTTCCCTCTCCCCTTCCTCTGGGCCCCCCCCCATCCTCCATCCAGCCCCACAGCCCCCAAACTCTCCCAGCTCTGCTTACCACCCCCCTTCCGGCCAGCCCCGCCCCCCCAGCTCTGCTTACCACCCCCCACAGGG